GGCGTCACCTCGAGGCCCAGGCTTACGCGGGCGAGTCCTGTGATAGAATCTGCAGGGTGGAGTGTAGCTGAAGGCCTGGCGGCCATGCCCGAACAAAGTCAGAGCACCAGCCAGGCGCGGCCACGTAGACATCCAAGTAAGCTCGCCCTTGAAACGTATGCGATCCGAAAACCTTCGTCTCTATGAGGACGTAAGCTGCAGAGGCGGATTGCCAAGTGCCGCGGACTGGGCTGACAAGTTCATGGCCTGTCAGACGCGGCCTGGCCGACGCGCTGTGTCCTTGCTTGCGAAGCTGCTTGTGAATCCATCGCTGTACTGACGTGGACCCTATCCCACGAGCTATCTCACCGACATGCCGCCTGATGTGAAATAAAAGTCAACCAGCCGTCGGGTGCCGGTGCTGGTCGTCGTGCGTGTGACCTACACTGAAAGGCATCAGGTCACGGAATGCAATTGGTGATACGCTGTGTTGGAAGACTCGCTGTTGACGGCGGTGAGCCGGGGCCCAAGCTTGCGGGCGAGTCCAGGGATTTGTTCGGATTGCGCAGTTCGGTTGCGGGCATCATGCCCCAAACAAAGCCGCAGCACCAGCCAAAACCGGCCTCATAAGAGGCTTGTTCATCCAAGAGAGTTCATCCACTTGATCCCAGCCAATCATGCTTGTGGCCGAGTCCGGGAAGGCGTCGCAAACGAAAAAATGCAGGTCTGTCAGCCTGCATTTGGTGACCAAGCTGCAGAGGGCGAGACTACCTCAGCGCAACGGACTAGGCTCGCAAGCAGCCTGGCCGGCGCCCTGTTTCCTTGCTCGGGAGCTTCTCGTAAGTCCAGTGCTCTACTGACAGTGACGTGGTCTCTGTCCCGCGAGGATATGCCGACGGCATCTCCTTGCGGCCAGATTGCTTCTCGTGGCCTACAGCTGCCTTCCGCAGCTTCTGCGTTGGTTTTCGAATCCTGGCATGACGGTAAGCACGGCTAAGCCGCTAAGCACTGCATGGTGCTGGGAACGCCGTGGCTTGCGAGCGCGCCCTGCCTTTGCTGCAGTGGACTCTGCCGCTCCGACTGCATTGTCGGGCTTCGAGTGCCGGTACACTGCAGGCCTGCCTTGCCATGTCAGGTGCCGCAAGCTTGCGAGCTCGCGCGGCATCGCGGACGCTGGGACGACGATCGCCCATTGAAAGCGACCGCACGCAAGCTGTGGGAAGCTGGGTCAGTTTGACGGTTCCTAGGGTCTGTTCCTACAAGTCATGCAAGTCCTGGAGTCTTATGCCAGCTTGCTCTAGAAAGCCCCAGTATCGCGGCTGCCAGAAGTTCAGAAGATAGGTTTCAAGTCGTCTCGCCTACACACTGCCTGACTTGAACTGACAGTGAGCGAATCTTTTGGAGGTTGTACTGGTTCTTGGGCTGGTGGCGTAGTGCTGCAGGACACCAGGACGAGATCACGGAATGTGGTCGGCGAGGCTCCTTTTGAGACGCTCTGTTGAAACCAGGCTTGCGGGCGAGTCTAGCAGGGAGGCCGATGTTCCATAGCCGTTCAGGCCAAAGCTTTGAAAGTTCTCCCTCCATGCTCGATACTCCCTGTGCTTGTTTGCAATTCCCTCCACTTCGCTTGCTAACGCAGCTGCCAGAACAGAAGCTAGGTGTCAAGTCGTCTCGCCTACACACTCCCCGGCTTGGCACGGCTGGCCACTGTGGAGCCCAGCGCATGCAAAGTTCAGTCGAAGGCCCCATTGGGCCTTTGTCCCAAACAAAGGATCACCAGGGGCCCCATCAGAGACTGGTTCATCGGTGCATGGCTGCGTGCCTCTGTTCTAGCAGAGGTGCAGCTCCAGGGCTCCAACGGCTCAAAGCCGGTCTCAAACCGTGAGATGCAGAGGTCTGCCGTCCGGTGCCGAGAAAGTTGCGGAGGAATGTGCCCTGTGCCTCCTGGCTCTTCGATGCGTTCCATTTTCTGCACTGCTGGGACGATGACACGGCGATCTTCGTCTCCTGTCCGCCTCTTTCTCTGAAGAGCTGAGGCAGTTTCCTCTGCTTTGCCGGGTGATCTCACCCGAGCCTCCCAAAGATGCTTGTTTTTGAGGTGCTTTCCATGAAGGCAGGCGCGAGTCCCGAGCTGCCCGCCGCACAAAGCCTCCTTGGCGTTGCCGCGGCACGTGCCTCCGTAGACACAGCGCTGGCGACTCCAATGCGGCCAAAGCTGCGCTGCCCAGCAGGAGCACAAGCTCCGTCCAGGCTCTAGGCTTAGGCGCATGCCCGAGGCGAGGAGAGCTTCGCGCTGGGCTTTGAAGCGCGAGCGTCGCAGAGGTGCTTCGCTGAACAGCTCCGGATCCGGCCTTTGAAACCCGGGCTGAAGAGCGCCTCCTGCAGCTCTGCACCAGGTAGCAAAGAGGGGCAGCTCTAGCCGTGCGCGTAAGTAGGGCCGTAGGGATGCTGTACCAAGGCCTTCTTGCTGTTGCCGAGCAGTGCACTCTGTGCCTCTACCTGCTGGTGGCTTGTCCACGTGCGCCCTCCTCTTCGAGTTCCAATGCACCTGGACCATGGAGAGGAGAAGACAACAATCGTCTGGCGTTTGCAACCGACAGGCAGGCAATTCTCAACGCCGGGACGGCCGTCGGCAGTAGACAGCTTGAGGTTTGTTGGCATGGCCGTGGTACAGCCGTATCGCCAGTGCATTAAGCATGACTTTCATTGCAGTCGCCGTCGTCGTCCTCCTCTTCCTCCATTTTGCTCAGTGCACCAAGTGGCAAGAGGATGTTAGGGTCACAGATCTGTCCAGACATCATCTTCAGCCTACGTAGTGCCGGATGCTTATCTTCGGGCCGATTGCACGGCCTACGTGCCGAGGTCTGTGTTAGCTGCGGGACGCACTCTTGCTGTAAGCTGCTAATGCAGGGCCTGCCTCGCGACACCATGAAATGCGCGGTGGTGCAGATGTAGCGTCAGCTGGTACCTGCCGAGATCGCATTTGTCTTCACCCCCCTGCGGCCTGGATGACAAGACGAAGATGCAGGGCCTGAAGTCAGCCTGCTATTGGTCTTGATGCCACATGCAAGCAGATGCAATGGCGTGCCCTCCCCCAACTCTTCTCCAAGGGCGGATTGTTTTCCGGGCAGCTTTCTGTGCGAGACTGACTTTCCGTGGCTCACAACGTGCCCTTCGGAGGGCGCGGATCCTTTAGGGACAGTTCGGGGGCTTCTTGCAGCGAGTGCATCACAGTTCTGCACTGGGTCGCTCTTCTGCAAACCACGTAAAGAGAAGATGCATTCAACTCTAGGATGTCTCCATTCCTCTGCGAAAAGCTTTCAGGAACTCTTCTCACCCCGAGATCCACGGCACTTCTGGGATCAAGGGGCTCATTCAGACCTCAGTGTGTAGAGCCTGCTGCAGGGTCTCACGAATGCCCGGATGTGAAGTTCATCGTGCGAGGCGCGGGGTGTGTGCACTCACATCCGTGCAGGTTGGAGAGTGCATGCAGTTTCCAGCGCTTCTGGCGCGACCCTGTGCTGTGCTGAGAAGGGCACCGGCTATGGTATGGCCACCCAAGATCACCCAAGAACCAACTCGACGCGCAAATTGAGGTTTCGTGGCTTTGAGGGGGCTGAGCACAAGATTGCTGCCTTTGCACTCTGCAGGTGCGGTGAGCGATCGGACTTTTGTGCGTTTTCATTGCCCTACATGCCAACACTGCCGATGAAAGGGTTTTGTCAGTAGTCCTTTAGTTGGGGGCCGATAACCTGGACAGTCTTTCAAGGCAACACCCATTCCAAAGCACCCTGGAGGCATACAGACGGTCTTGCCTGGAGAAGCTGGTAGTGCCACCAGTCAGTTTTCGCCGGCCCTTGTGGCTTCGGTGTTCGCCAGACGGAAGTGCAGCTCTGTCAAACTAGCAAGTCACTTTTCTGGGGCGAGTGCGTCGTTTCACCCCGAGGCAACATCCCCGCTTGCCCTCCCGGCAGCCTTGGCAATCGCAGCACGATGGCTGGGTTGTATGGAATCCCGAGCTGCAGATGGCGGTTGTGGGACCCATCCCACCGGTGCGTTTCGAGAGGGGGGCTTCATGCAGAGTCTGGGCATCCCTTGCGCAGCCCGGACATGTTCGCTTGGATTTGGGCCTCCGTCTTGCTATCTCGTGTCCGTCATCTGTCACCGGCAACCTGAACGTCGCCGTGCAGCTCAGAGTACTTTAGTCGGATCGTGCCCAGCCACCCAGGTCCGCAGCCCGTCTTCGCCTCTCTTTCCTCGCGGTCCAGGGGCTCGAGAGTTGGACATTCACGAGGGATCCATCTGTTCTTCCGTGCTTCGTGCATCGTTGAGAGTCCGGATTCTGCTTTTGCCGCTGCCCCCTCGGACCTTCGCTGCTTGGCCAAGAAGAGACTTCCCACATCCAGCCGTTTCGTACACCCAGCGAGCATACCCGGATTAACGTTGACTCCGGGAAGCCTGGATTGGAACATCAACTGCCTTCCCAAGCAAGCAAGCATGCCAGAAGCCTCGAAGATTGGTGCAAGGCTAGCCTTTCCCTGTCTGATGCTCTTTGTACCTGTGTGTCCGTGCCAGAACCGAGGCAACTTAAAGCGGAAGCCGTGGTTTAAGGCCGGTCAACTGGACTCAAGGTGATGCCATCGGCCCATCCTCGCGACTCCGACTAATGTCAGCTTCAAGAGAGCCGCCGAACAATTGGCGCTGGCACCTACCGGCCCTATTCCACGCGGCCCCACGCCAGGCTTGTTCAGGTGCTTCAGTACGCCATAAACCATCAAGAGCACTTGTGCACGCAGCAGGTGTCGTCAGAAGCCAATCTGAGGCAGAGCGCAGCCCGCCATGTGCAAAGCCGGGCTCAGCGGTTGAAGCGAAATCGGTGAATCGTACGCGTTTGGATAGTCCCAGGTTAGACAGGTATGGGTTCACAGATGGAAAAAGGTGAAGAAGCTAAGCTTCAAGTCGTCACGCCAACATCGTGCCAATCTTAAAGCCAATCTGATCCAATCTTCCGGAGGACGTGCTGGTCATCGCTCTTGTATCGCAGTCCTGACAGGCACAAGGACGAGCTCACGGCCTGTTGAGTTGTGGGCGCTTTTGCAGTCGGCACAGTTCTACGAGGATTGCCCGATGACATCACCTTGAGGCCAGATCGCATTCAATTGACAAAGACAAAGCCCGGGCACCGTGTGCTGCCCTTGCCGCGGTGAATGCAAGTGAATCCTAGCACGCTGGCAGGACCAGCCGCATCCTTCAATATACCATAGTGCGCGCCAAGCCTTGAACACGAAACCCGTGATCCAGCCACCTGTAAGCTCGGTAGTAGTTTGTTTCGGACTCTGCGACGTGAAGCCGCTGGAAACGGAGCCCATGGTTCAATGTGAGGCCTTGTTGCTCATACGAATTTCCCGAAGGATGTGTTGGTCATTGCTGCATTCAGTCCTGAAAGGCACACGGACGAGCTCAAGGCCTGCTTTCAGCGGTGCTCCCCAGGAGTTCTGCGCGCCGTTGCACGTCGCACTGTTTTACGAGGACGGCCCCATGGTATCACCGTGAGGCCAGATCACTGTGCTAGACACCCAGGCTTGCGTGCAAGTCCGGCAAGTCCGGTAACTGTGCGCCCCTTGCTGCGGTGAAACCTGGCGTAGGCGCAAGACCAGCGGCGCACGGCCCCACACCAGGCTTGTTCACTTGCTTCTAAGCTCAGCAGGCGTCAAAAGACCATCTGCGGCCGAGTGCGGCCGACGGTTTTTGGGTTTGAGGCTGTCTGTGGGGCCGTGAACCGTACGCCAGCTTTAGGAAGCCGTGCCTCATCCCAGGCTAGAAATGCATGGGCTCACAGATGCCATAACAGGAAGAAGCTAGGTAAGCTAAGTTTCAAATCGTCTGGCCACATCATGCCAATCTTGAAGCCAGTTTGATCCAACCTTCCGGAGGACGTGCTGGGAATCGCTCTTGCATCGCAGTCCTGACAGGCACCAGGACGAGCTCACGGCCTGCTTTCAGCTGTGCTCCCCAGGAGTTCTGCGCTCCGTTGCACTTCGCACTGTTCTACGAGGACGGCCCCATGGCATCACCTTGAGGCCAGATCTCTTGCCTAGACATGGCCTAGGCTTGCGTGCAAGTTCGGCAAGTCAAGTCCGGGGACCGTGTGCTGCTCTTGGCCGCGTTGATCCTGGTATAGGGGCAAGACCAGCTACATGGGCCTTGCAGCCTGCGATGTTCAAAGTCGGGTTCTGGGGTTGAGGTGAAAATAGGTGAGCCATGCGCCAGCGTTTAGGAAAAAAGGTATGGGCTCAGAGGTGAAAAAGCGAAGTTTCAAGTCGTCTCGCTGGAATCATGGCTGGCTGAAAACGAACTTGATCCAAACTTCCGGAGGCGGTGCCGGTCACTGTGCTTTCATCCCAGTCCTGAAAGGCACAAGGACGAGCTCACGACGTGCTTTCTGTGGTGCTCCCCAGGAGTTTTGCGCTCTGTTGCCTGTTGCACTGTTCTACGACGACGGCCCCACGGCATCACCTTGAGGCCAGATCGCTTTCGGGCAGGTCCAAGAACTTTTCTAGATGCAAAGTCGTGCAAAATCGCTTGCTTTCGTGAACTTGAAACGCAGATGCCAAAAACTGCGATTCTCGTGCCTCTTGGGCGAGACAGAGGGCTGCCAGACCGTACGCCGCAGAGCATCATTGCTTTCAGCAGTAAAGTGAACAGCGGCGCATGTTCAGCATACTTGGGGCCGTGCATGCTCTGCTTGCCCTCTAAGCGTCGAGGCTAAGAGACAAGGCAAAGACCGGGCCAAGGAAGAGAGCGGTGCTTTTCAGGTGTGCGGAGGCCGGAACGAGCCGACCTTGTGTTGAAGTCATGTGGCTTCCACGCTGTGTCGTAGCACGAAGGCTTCGGCACCCAGCCACTTGGAGACCGCCACCAGACACTGCGCCGACGAGCAGTTCGAGTTATCTAGATGTCCGCGCAGTCGTGGGTCTGAAACCGTGCTGTGGAAGCATCATGTGTGCGCTACAAGGCTTGGGCACCCCCTGTGGTGCAAGATGGGCACAGCGCCCATCCAAGTGCATGCCGAGTCATTCTGCCATCGGACATCGTTGTAGACTGCGTGCTGGCGTGTATGCTGGCAAGAGGTCTGTGGTGCTTATGCCAAGCTTGCCTCCTGGTGGTTGCATGCCTCGCATGAAGTATTTCCAGTCTGCAGCAGTCCCACTTCTCCAACGTAGGCTCGCGCAGCTCCAAGCTAGTGGAAAGCTTGGCATGCAGACTGTTGAGCCAAGATCGGAACCACTGCGATCAGAGTAGGTGGGCTGCTGTCATCGCGACGAGCACTTCCTCTGAGACTCAAGAGCATCAATCCTACTGAAGATGGTGCAGTGCACCCTTCAGGTCTTCGCGTACTCTTTCACACGAGGCCCATCTATGGCACCATAACGCGGGAACCCCCCGCGAAGAGTTCATGTCTACCCACCAGCGTCCACACTTGAAGTGCCGCAGCCGTCGATTCACATTTCCAAACCCGATCCAGTCTAGTGGAGTCCTTAGGTCTGCAGTGCCACT